CTGCTACTGCTACTATTACTCCTACTTCTTCTACTGCTGCTGCTGCTGCTCCTGCTCCTGCCCCTGCTGCTGCTGCTGCTGCCGCTACTGCTACTGCTAGTGCTACTGCTACTGTACCGCCACCACTACCAATCGACCAGCACCCACCAACGACTATACTACTTCCACTAGCAAAAACAACGATCACGACGACTGTTGGCCTTCCGCAAAGCGGGCGCGGCTTGCCTACAGCTTTGCGGCTGCAATCACGCAAGGAATCCTTTGTGGCTGCGCTTTTATGAGGTTGATATAGAGCCGAGGGGTCTGCAATGTGCTATGAATGTTGAGCTCAGTCTTATCTTGCTTCTTGTCCCGGGCCGAACCGAGGCGCTAGATGGCAGGCCTTTGCATGGGCGCAGATGCTTTCTCAGCTGGTCCTCCCGAGCCAGGCGTGCAACAAGCGGATGGGAATGGCACATGCTTCGCACTTTTTGCATATAATGGCAACTTCGGACCGGTAAACCATGGTGAACCTTACTAGGCGAAGCTGTCTCAAACGGCAATAGTCAGCAATGCATGATCTGTTTTTGTTCAGCCATCGAAGCCTTTTGGACGATCATCCGCTAACCAGTGCATGCAGTTGACTCATGCAGCTGGCTCCTTGTGCACAAACTTCTGTGTCAGGCGTGAGGAAGCAGAAGCTTGGGCACCACCACTCAGTACCAACGAAGGCTTGGGTAGGGTGCAGCTGGGGAAGGTAGCAGGTCTTTTGATCTTCATTCTCAGTTCTTACGGAGTCCAGAGGATGCAGGTCAAACTGCCGTCGTTTCTCTAGGCGCGCGGCATATCCGGTCGTACCAGCTACCCGTCGCACCTGGCAAAGTTGAGCGTGAAGGCCACGGCAACACTGGCGGAGGGTGTCTTTTCGGAGCCTTTGGCACAGATTCAGTCCCGTCCATGGTGAACAGCAGGTGCGGGCAAAAGCACTCTCTCAGTCCTTGCTTGAATGCGGGCCCTCAAGACCCAGTCCCATCTGCAAAAGCATTTTTGGGCTCAATTTCCCATGCACACTGGCCGGGGCATTGATCTACGCGACCGCGAGTGGATGTCGTGCCACCTGTGCCCGCGGGTCGGTTGCAAGCTCGGAAGCGATGCTCGGCAAATCTTAAAGAGTTTGCACCGCAAAAGGTAGCTTTTCTGACAGTTCAGCTGGCATACCAGGATATGCATCTTCAGACTCTGCAACCACCCATGCAGCACGAATAGCGGTCGGAGCACAGCGATTGGGCTGCCACCACAGCGGCAAAGCCCTTTCGGATGCGGACTGGGTCTCTCTCTCGGCTCAAGCTTTGCCATGATGATGATGTTTTACTAGTCGGGCAGCTTGGAATGGCCATGATGATGCGAAGGCACGGAAGTGTAGAGCGGGTTCCAGGGCATGCGCGCACTGCACACGACTTTTTCTGCTTTGCAGATAAGCCAAGGGGCCGGTCTTGCAGGTTTGGGAGCAGGCGTCCTGTCCCCGAACCCCCCAACAGCCTTGACTCCGGAAGAACCCTCGGTTCAGCAACGAGCCTGGGAGGCGCCGTGGCGAGGAGTGCCTGGCGAGGCCGGGTATGGGTGGGACGGAGATGAACACAGTGAAACCAACATGTTTTTAGGCCGAGTGGGAGGGAGTCCTTCATGCATGAGTGACGTGAGGGCAGATCCAATTCAATCTTGCAGCTGTGCCAGCTGCTAGCTTGCAAAGGGTCCTCTGATCAATGCCTGTCTCCTGGTTTCCCCTTCTTTGCACTGCCGAGCTGGGTCTAGCTTCGGCCGTAAGCTCCCATGTCCGATCTCCCACCAGGCTGCCTACACCCTGCCGCGCGCCGCGGCGGAAGGAGCCTTGGCTTTCGTTTTAGGCTTTCAAGGGAGTAGTGGAGGTATAAGGGTGCCACTTGTACAAGGATGCTATGATAGGGCTTTGCGAGGTTTGAGTTCAGGGTTTTGGGGCCAGTGGACGGGGCTGGAGAGCATTTCCATCCTGTGCCTAGGGTGGCCTGGCTCTCTAAGACAGCAGGGCAGCCTTTTGGTCTTTAGGATGTCGTGATATGTAGTCTCCTTACATCTTCTGAAAGCCAAAATGCCCCTCGTTCCCGTTCCACCCCGAGTGCAGGAGGATGGCTGCTTCTGGAGCCCGGAGGACCTGCAAGGGCTATGACCAAGCCGCGAATGAGGCACTCGTACTCGTAACTCTGGAACCGTAGCTGTTTCTGTTGTGTTGGGGTAGGGGCACCGTCCAACAGGAAGCCTGAGAGTAGTCTCAAGGCATTGTTGCAGCCCTGGAGATTCCAGGATCCTTTCGCTCCAACGCGCACGCTACGGCGGACGCCTCCCAGGACAGCTTCTGCTCGATTTTACAGTTTTCTGTCCCCGCGGACCCAGACCCCAGCTAAGCAGGCCGGGGGCATTGTCGCGGCTGCGCGTGTTTCACGTTTTTATAAGGCTTAAGGTCGAGTGTCCCGCATGGAGCATGTGTTCGGGTTTCGGTGGCCGGCTTCGGAAAACGTAGATCTCAGCCACTGCTGAGGGGGTCAATGAAACTGGATGCCGGAGGACTCCCTGGCCGGTGCTTTTTTTTCCATCTTGTGGGAGAAGTCCTGTCTGTGCGCCTAGCAACAGGCGGCAACCGCGATGGAGCGTTGTGTGCGTAGTATGACACCTGCTGAGAGATTCATTCCGGCATCTGTAGTTGTAGGAAGCACCTTAGCAGCGGGCCTGCGAGAAGAGACGAGGTGCTTTGAACCTGATGTGCCCAAACGTAACTCCTGCAAAGATCAAGCTACAGAAAACAGGCTTCCTTCATGATGGTGGGTTCACCGACAAGCTTAGTAGGAAGACTCGGAACGAAGAAAGCCACAGCAATCCCCAACGAGCCGGCCATTGGTGGAAGTCAAAAAACCATACCCAAACTCATGGATGCAGGAGCGAGAGCGAGTCTACGCAGACCTCCGAGAGCGTTCCTGCGGTCCAGACCGCCGAGGCAGATCGGTGAGGTGAAGGCTTCAAGGCTTCAGCTTCCGCCGGACTTGGAGGTGAGTTTGCTGCCAAGGATTTCCATGGACTCGGTTTGGGTCCAGTCGAGACGAGGGTTCCTGGTCCGAGGCCTCGGTGCAAACCGAGCCGGAGGACCCCGAGCACTCTGAAAAGGAAGCCGAGGACGCGGAAGGCGCCTACATAGGGCACAAGCTGCTTCCTGTACTGGCCGTCGCAGTGGTGGTGGAGGCGGTCGGCCATCGTACCAATACCGTTAGCAGCTATGAGCAAGCAGCAGCAGCAGCGGCAGCAGTGGCAGCAGCGGTAGCAGCAGTAGCAGCGGCAGACAGTACCAACATCAGCAATGCTGAGAAGACGGTACCTTTTCGCAGCAACAGTGAGTGTGTACTCGATGATTCTCAGTAATGTCAGTCTCTCTCTCTCTCTCTCTCTCTCTCTCTCTCTCTCACAGTCGATCTTCTGGTCTGCGCTGTTTGATGCTCCAGGGACTTAAGAATCAGAAGTTCCAGGGCTGGACGCGATATCCTTTACGCATGTCCCTTCTGCCGAAGCCCTGCGCCCGACACTGTGCAGTGACAGTACGAATCAAGAGACGGGTAGCAAGCGTGGTCCCTCTGCTCTTACCGGTCTTTTGAGACCTGGTTCTTGTCGAGGTGAGCAGCTGGAGCCCCGCGTGCCGCGCAGGCGAAGATGCGCCTGAGCTGCAAGAGCTTCGTGTGAGCGTGTGTGGAAATTCTGTTGCTAAGGACATTGGATCGGATCATTCGTACTGCATGAGCACTTGAACTTTAACAATTATTTGATATGAAAACAGATTGAGAATGCAGGAGGCTGGCAGCCTGTTCCGTGATGCCAGCCAACATCAGCCAACGAAGCTGGCGGAATAGGTGGAAGGAGCTATGGATGCATAGCTCTCTACGTGCAAAACAATGTTTCACCGCCGATATATGTATGTCTATATATATATATATAATATGTACACATAGAATCCAGACATTTTCGTCCTTAATCAAGTCTTGAGTAGCATCACACGCACTACTGAAACTGTATTATCTTGCGGTTATGGTAATGGGCAAGGTTGGCACGGCTATCAGTTGTGGAGTGTTCGTTTTTTCGTGACTTAACTTTGACTTACGTCTGAGTTCGAATATAAGACAAGCAAACCGGTCACATTGTACGTGAAGGTTCCTTGGCTCTCATATATATATATACATACACAAATTGTGCATGTGTGTATATATATATATGTATACATAATAATAATCAATGGCCTTGAGTGCCTATCTTTAATCAAAAGAAGTAGTTGTATTGCATCTACACAAATCGTAGTGTGCAAGAGTCTTTGGTTTCAGTTGCATAGCTGATAAGAGACGGCAAAAGATAACAAAGGACAAAAAAAGATAAGGAACACCGACAACCGGCTACGACCGGGATCTCCATGTATGTGTTTTCTTCCCTTTCCCAAACTGAGGCAGGTGCGGTGCTGGACTTTGGTGGCTCTTGCGGCTCTGCGTCCTTTCAGGACCTGACGGCTCGGCGATGCTTTGTCGCGACAGGGAGTGAGTGGAGAGTTTGACCGGCTTTCCTGGATTCCTTCCTTACACGGGAGCGCCATCGACACACACTCCAGTAATTAGGCTCGGCTGAAGCTCAGCATTGAGCAGACATATTTCGAAGCCTTCGATGCCCCAAGAGCAGGACTTATTCAGGCTCACCTGCCCGATGAAGATGCACCGGCTGTCGTGGAGAGCCCATCTCGCAGGACGCTCAGGGCTCCCTCCGTTCTCTAAGCAAAAGAAGGGCTCCCACTGCTCCCACTGGATCTGCGTGAACTCTTTGTTGAAGCATAGCTCGCGATGGGGTTACTCCTGCAGGGCGTGCGCACCTCAAATCCGAAATCGATCATGCATGTGCACCACCATTGGCCCACCGTCCTAAACCTTCGTCGGCCAATCGAGCCATCAGCTCGAACCCTCCCAAGTCCTTGTCATCTAGGTGCAGTTGCAAGGCACGGCCATGGCCATCATGGGGTTCGTCGTCATGGTAGGGGTCAAATGCAGGGCATGCCTTTCGAAAGGATTTCTTTGGCAAGTTCCCTTCAACCGCTGCATCAGATTCCTGGAAAGTGTACCAGAAACCCTGCATCACGACCCAGCAATCCACACTTGAAGCCCGAGAATAAAGAAGTGACCGCATATATATATATATACACACACACATACACACACACACATACACATACATACACATACACATACATACACATACATACACATACATACGCATACATACACATACACATACACATACACGCATACACATACACGCATACGCATACATGCATACATACATACATACCTACCTACGTACATACATGCATACATGCATGCATACACACACACACATATATATATATATAAATTCCAAAACCGTGAGCGCACATACCGAGAGGTGTACCAAGTATTCTTGAAAACCACCCTGAATCTCATATTTTGGATTCCCTCCCCTGACCCGAGGCAGCTTCCTGGAGCGGGAAGCTCAGCTCCAAGAGCAGCTCGAACTCTGCGGAGCCCAAGTTGCAGGCGCCGTCTGGGCGGGGGGTGGGGGGGAGGCAAGGGCCAGCGCAAGAGCGCGCTAGGGCAGTAATATGGCTATACATCAATAATCCTGTGGTGCATGATCATACAACATGAAAGCATGAAAAACTCGTGTGTGCGCAAGAAACACACGGGAGTGCGCAAGGGCGAGTGCAAGGGGTATTGAATGGTCACTCCTCGGAGCAAAAATATCGACACATTCTCATTGCCAGGGTACAACGCCCTTTGTGTTTTCCTAAAGTATGTGTTTGTACTAGAGAAGGGCATACACGCAGATGCGTATGTATGTATGTGTGTATGTA